CGTAAATTGTTATGATATAAATTCTAAATACTAGATATTGTATCTAGACAATTCATCAAATATAATAGTATGAGTAATAATAAATTCAATAAATAATGTAAATGAAAAAATATATTAACAATACTTGTATTAAATTAGAATTAAATTAAAAATAAACTTTCAAAGATTTCAATACAAAATAATGTATTTTAAATAAGAGTAAATTCATAATTTATAATTATCAATTTATATTCCGCGAGACAAAACATTTACTGAATCTCACGTCATATTAAATTTTGCTTTAACTTACGTAAAGCCAAGTTATTATATAGATGGATAGATTAAACGTGATTAGGATCAAATCGGCATGCTTGTTGTATAATTTGTTATGTTAATGTTTGCTGAACATTTATTTATGTTTATAATATTCATTATTAAAAAATTTCTGAATTTTATACATATATATATATACTACATATATATCTCTTTCATGCACCGATTTAAATATTTAATCTTGGTATCAAAATATGGGAAGAGGAAAGATGGGTAATAAATAAAAATACATAATATGTGTATTTATATTATTCTTATTTCATATAAATATAAATTATGACTCTCTTTTCATTTCAATCCTCACGACACATGTCCAAACGTCAATAGACACCAACACGACGCGGTTTCCAGGCCGCTAGGACTCACGGGTCCAAACAACAAACGCCAGCCCGGCGCACTGGACTTCGTAAAGCCAGGACACCTGATAAACCTTCTCTGCAAGGGCACGTTTCCTCCGGAAGGCGAGAGTACATGCCTACTCTCAGACTACTTTAAGCCTCCGTTGGGCAGCTTGCAGTATAGACGCAATAGAGATTTCCCGAAGGTCTCGTACGCCTAGAATGTGGGCTCAGGATAGGTCGGAGGACCGTGACCTCCAATTAATCCCTGCCCCGACTGGGCTGTTGGTCTAGTATGCTCAGTCTAGGATAGTCCTGGACCCAATGCCCAGTCAATTCAGACAGTGGCGATCGGGCCTCGCAGATTACTATGGTCTTTAAGCCATAGTAATCCAACTTAGAGAGTCATAGTTATATTTATATTTTATATTTCCATTTATCTTTCTTCATTTATATTGAGAAAAATATACTATATAAAAATATTTAAAATAAAAATTTAATATTTTTAAAGAATACTTGAATAATTGAACTTCTTTTACACGATTTTGTGTCATTTCAATTGTTAATTATTTATTTCGAAAAATTTAATAAACTTAATAAATTTTTATATATTAATATATTTCCAAAAATATTTAATTAAACTATTATTTTTAAAATATTTATATTATTTTATATGTTATATAAATATTTAATTTCTTTAAAAAAATTATTTTACGTATTTTAATTATACTTTCTTGCGAAATCGTTTGATAATTTTCAGCAATTAATACATCTCGCAAATGAAATATGAAAAGTAATATAAAGTAATGAAATTGATATAAAGAACTCTATCTGTGTTTGCTTTACAAGTGCATTACAATAAATCATTAAATAGTGTCCAAGATAGATACCAAGATTAAATATATAATCCTAAACTGTTTAATCTATTCATTTTAGGGCAAAAAATCTATGAAAATATCCAACTGCAATACTTTAATAATAAATATATAAAAATAGGTTAATATAAGTTTCACAGATTTGTTACCCCAGTATAAAAAATTTATTACTCACCGACTCGATGCGCAACAGCGGAGTTAATCTGCAATGTAGCTACGATGATTCTGTAACATACAAAGAGAATATTTAAATTATAGCAGCGCTCGAAACAATAGATGCTTTAAAAATTTTTACATATACCGAATCTACTTGTTTTTCAATTAGATATTTGTTAAATAATTAATAATTAACAAATAATTTTCAAAAAAGATCTTTATAGAAGTAAATTGATATTAAACTTTAAATTATTTTTCTTTTCCAAACTATAAATTTTAAATTATCGAAATTCAGTGATCCAAATTAATGAGAAAAGAAATAATTTCATCTTGACAAAAAATATATGCTTACCGCAAAGTTGCTCCGCCGGTGCCCGATGCCTCTCCTAAGCCTCCTCCTCCTCTCAAGGTGTCGGGTCGTCGGATGTCCTCGCAGCACAGGACACTCGCGAAAAACACTCGCGAATTATTATAATCGCGCGCGGACTAATTTTTGCTGCCCGTGAAAATATCAAGTTCCGTCGGTCCAGCTAGCACCCGAGTCGGTGAGCTTTTCGGGACACACGGTAACTCTTCAAGCAAAGGCTAGGACCGAAGCGGAAGAAGACGAATCGACTGACTTGAATCCGACGTCTCTTGTTTCTTAGAAATTACGTTTAAAATTGACTCAACCATCGCATAGCCAACGGTTCAGGTCGAATCACCAGGGCGGATACCATACACGTGATATCAAAAGTCACCCGGGCTATCGAGAAGGCTGGTAGATGTGACGAGAGAGAAGGTACCCACCGCCGATGCCTAACAATCTAGACAATCGGACAACTGGGATCCAGCCTCTCGGCACACGCGATAACCGCCCGAACTAAGCTCTGATCGAGTCAGATTAAACGCGATTTGTTTAGGAAGGGAAAGGTATTAAGGTATTAAGGAAGGGAAAATAAAGGCCGTTGGCGATTAAATAATCGCACGCGCCACATAGGAGCCCTTTCACGACTCGTGGCAATGCTGTGTCGAAAATGAGAAATAGTCCGCGCGCTCCAAGACTAATACGCGCTTATATAATCGCGTATAGTCAGTGCGCGAAACGCACGCGCCACATAGGAGCCCTTTCACGACTCGTGGCAATGCTGTATCGAAAATAAGAAATCAAGAGAATAAGCGACGAAAACAAGTCAGCCGATTGAAGTCTTACTCGATTGGGACCGAACCACTCGTCGAAGACAGAGCGTGTTCTCAATTAGCCGTTTAATGCAGGTTGCAACTGTGCGAAACACAACACATCGAGCGGTAGCGAGTGCGTGTAACATTCACAGCCGGCATCACCAGTGCCGCGGCGCACGTGGCGTGAAGACGTAGCCGACTACGCCTCAATGAGATCCCGCGCTCCCTGCACCCCTTGACAGTGCGACTCGACCGACTCGAACTATGATATTTCTCAAACGAGCCCTCGCAGAGCGAGGAAAAGTTTCTTTTAGTCCGATCACTGTTACGGCACTCCCGAAGCAAACGCGCGACGCGACGAACTGGCTACAGTTCGTTCATTCATAATTAAATCGGCGGCGGAATGTCGGTTAAAAACCGACGATTAATGCGCAAATGCATTAATTAAGTTTGCCACGTAAGAGCCATTTCACGACTCGTGGCTATGCTGTGTTAGTATATTATTAATAACAGTGATATTACTTAACGTTAATATTAATGTTACTAATAATAGTGCAACAGGTACTAGTTAGCTTCTTCGTCTTTGGGGTACATACCCAAGCAGCACAAGTTAAGTTAATCGACAAATCATTTCGCCGATTAATAATACTGCTTAAATAACCCCTCGGAATACTGAGCCCCTCTGCCACGTCAAGGCCGTACCCATTAGAGGGGTATTATTTACAAAAAGTTATGAATTTCAACAGAATAAGTCGCGAAATATATATATATATATATATATATATATATATATATATATATATTTATATATATTTATATAATATGAATATAAAGTAATCATAAAGAATTAATATACTATATATTGACAATAATTGAAATGTAATAAAAATCTGAGACACTTCTAGTCACGTCCGTCTTAGGATATATTCTTTCCTTTCATCATACATAAAAAATTTTTAATGAATTAGCAATATGCCCAAATGCATGTTTATTTCTTTTTTACTTCGAATATACAACAAAGCTGACAATTCTTTTAATACGAACAATGATACTGAACGAATCATTGATACTGAAACTTACTTTGACGAACGTCACAGAAGTTATTTCTTTCACGTTACACGGTAGATATCGGCCTTATTATCGTACTATCGGTTTTCTTTAACATATGGAATGTTTACGCCACTGCTCGTGCTTCTGGCAAAAAGCTCTCCCAATACTTGATGAGTTGATTTTGGTGTTGCAGCATTGATTCCAGATATTCAATTAACTGTTTCTTGAAATCTTGTACTCTAACTAATTCGAAACGTTCGATCTCTTCCTTTATCATTTTCGAAATATTATCGAATTCTTCTTGACCTCTGTCTACCTTCGCCTCCCATTCTATGACCTCGGTAGCTGCTTGACTTGTTTTGTCCGTGCGACCCGATTGCTCGAGTCGCGCTTTTTGCTCGCGTTTCTTGTTCAACATCAATTGAGCATGCTGCCAGTTTTGAAAAACTTTCACTCTTTCATGAAAAACATCCTGTAAAATAATGTTACGTACATAAATAATGTAAAAGCAATAAAGAATATAATTTGTAACTATAAATTGCAAATACAAACTTTAATTGCACCAATGAGCGCAACGTAATCCCTTAACATTTCCCCAAATTGATAAAGATCACTGTTACTTTGCGTTTTCCTGATTACTTCCACTTTTTCCAGTGTTTCGGCCAGTTGTGCTAATGCTCTTCCAAGAGATGCTCCAGGTTCGCCATGGCCAAGAACGGCAATCGATTTCGCCGTAGCACCAGTGTAATTTGCTAATTCCCTTCTTTGATTTGTTAAACAATCGACCGCGGAATGCAACGCGCGTAACTGAATATCAAGAGAATCTATTTGCGATGTTTTTTCTTCGAACCACTGTAAAGAATAGATTTTTATTCATCTTATTTCTTTTCAAATACATTTAATCATATCATATCAAATCATATTTAACACAAAAGCATTTTTTTGTGATATATTATGATAACATGATATATTGCGTGATATATTTCGTGATAACATGATGGTAATAATTCGCAATGATCAGCAATATTAAATTATTTGATAACGTACGAGTCGACATTTCAATGATTTCAAATAAACGTACCTTACCTTCCTATTGCAAGCAACAAAAAATTGTGTTTCACGATACTTCATAGGAAATACATGCAAGAAATATGTGTTTACATTGAAGAAATCTCACCATATCACTCTCGTCCATTTTATATGTTATCTTATTAACAGTTTCCCCAACTTTGTTGAAAAGCCGCATTACTCCTTTACCACTCAATGCAGATGTATTAGTGGCCTTAGGCAATTCTATATCTAGGAAAGATAATAGATATATTTACTAGAAGAACTTTTTTTGCCAAAGCTTTCATGCTAACTTATTAAAGAACTATTAATTACCAGCTTCTAAAAATTCTCTGAAATCAGGATCAATGCTCAAAACTGGATGTGCAGCAGTTCTATTCAAATACCTCTCAAGAGCTGCTCTGCGTCGTTCAATAAATTCAGTGGAACTCGAATTTTGTTCTTGACTCTTATCCCCGGACATTTTTATCTTTGTAGTTCCTGTTGATAATTTCCGTAATTATTTTCCTCTGTAATTATAGAGTATAAAAAAATAAATTTTATATTCTTACCAATGACACTTTTTTCTGGAGCTGGTGGAATTATCCTGCCATTTCTAAGATATTTCTCTGTTAATTTATCGTGAAGACCTAGAAAATCACTAAACCGCCTAATTACGCTAAAGTTCCTTTTCTTAAAGATAAGCATATTCGTTCTCGTTTCAACTTTGTATGCAACGTAGGCTCCCATTCCATCACCTATTTTTTGAGGTGAAGTGACAGTAATCTTCAAGAAAACTTCAGATGTATCTGTTGGGACCTATATATAAATAATATATAATATTTAATAATAATATTTAATAAAATTGTAAATATTTACTAAAGCTATAATCTGATCTGATACATACCTCTTCTAGAGATCGAGAGTGAATGATATTTGTAGACAGAGTGTCTGCGTTGTCATTGATAGGAACATCATGAAGATCTCCGATATCTGTATTCATTGGTCCTAGCGGAGGACTTAAGGGACCTGGAGCTGGACTGGACATAGAAGAGAATGAATTCTCCTCTGGTGCATCACGCAAGGATAGTTTCGGCAGTTCTGCCTGAACTTTAGATATTCCATTGTAAGGCGAAATATCCTCCAATTGGCTCTGTTCCTACGAACACACAAATATTGTCGATTTATCGCAAGCTCAGGAATTGCAATTCTTATTATATCTTTCAGCATGCCATTATGATAACGATCGAATTGAGACACACGTCAGCAGAATTTATCCTTCACGGTAGAGAAAATACGCTTCGATCGTAAGTGTAGAAACTGACGTAATCTCGACGAGATTAATTCCCGGAGATGTGCAGATGCCGAAGAAATGCGTTTTTTATGATTAATGTGGAACTGCGAACAAACAGGTCGCTCTTGTAGCACCGCGGCATTGTTCTCGAGCGAGCTCGTCGAG